TAGCTAGCTAGCTGGGTGGGGAGCTGGCTAGCTAGCTAGCTGGGGATCTGGCTAGCGATCTATGTAGATAAACATAATATAAATATATAAATATAAATACAAATATTTATGTATTTATTTATTTGTGTTTTGTTATATAAGCTGAGAGAGGAGAACGTCTCTCGTATAAACATAAATAAATAAATAAATAAATTAAATAAATAAATAAATAAATAAATAAATAAATAAATAAATATAAACATAAACCTAAATAAATAAAAATAAAGATAAACCTAAATAAATAAAAATAAATATAAATATAAATATTTATTGTGTGTTGTGTTATATAAGCTGAGGAGGGACTGCTGCAGCACCGCCTGTCTCCTCTGTATAAACCTAAATAAATAAATAAATAAATAAATAAATATAAACATAAATACATCAATATAAACGCAAATAAATAAATATAAACATAAAAATAAATATAAAAATAAATATTTATTGTGTGTTGTGTTGTATCAGCTGAGAGAGGAGAACATATCTCGTATAATAAAAGAGGGACTGCTGCAGCACCGCCCTTCTCTGTATAAACCTAAATAAATAAATATAAACATAAATACATCAATATAAACGCAAATAAATAAATATAAACATAAATAAATAAAAATAAATATATTTATATATTTGTATTGTGTTGTGTTGTGTTCTATAAGCTGAGAGAGGAGAACATATCTCGCATAATAAAAGAGGGACTGCTGCAGCACCGGCTGTCTCCTCTGTATAAACATAAATAAATAAATAAATAAATATAAACATAAATACATCAATATAAACGCAAATAAATAAATATAAACATAAACAAAATAAAAATAAATATATTAATTTATATATTGTGTTGTGTTGTGTTATATAAGCTGAGAGAGGAGAACATATCTCGTATAATAAAAGAGGGACTGCTGCAGCACCGGCTGTCTCCTCTGTATAAACATAAATAAATAAATATAAACATAAATACATCAATATAAACGCAAATAAATAAATATAAACATAAAAATAAATATATTTATTTATATATTGTGTTGTGTTGTGTTGTATCAGCTGAGAGAGGAGAACATATCTCGCATAATAAAAGAGGGACTGCTGCAGCACCGGCCTTCTCCTTTATGTTATGATGGTTTTATTCAGCCCCACCCACTAACTGTCTCCGTTGAGATTCTGCATTTGTTTGCGGAGACACAAACACAAATATTTAGACAAATACTCTTCCAAGAAGCAGCAATGCAGCAGCAGCAGCAGCAGCAGCAGCAGCAGCAACAGCAGCAGCAGCAGCAGCAGCTGCTGCTGCTGCAGCAGGAAGAAGAAGAACAACAGAACCAGAACCAGCACCAGAACCAGCACCAGCACCAGCACCATCACCAGCAGCAGCAGCAGCAGGAGCAGCAGCAGCAGCAGCAGCAGCAGGAGCAGCAGCAGGAGCAGCAGGAGGACGAGCATTTATTATTATTATTATGTAAAGTGTTGGAGACAGCAGAGAGTTTCTCGGTGCAGCAAATGATTAAAGAAATACTGCTGCGGGCTGTCTGCAGCATGACGATGGAACTGCCAGAAAAAGATGAAATTGATGCTCTTTTCTTTGATGGGGGAGTTTTAGATAAACTTTTGTTGCTTTTGTTTAAACAAACAGATCATATTACAGACCCAGGTATGTTGTTTTGTTTTTGTTTTATTCTCTGTTTTTTTCTCTATCTTTTTCTCTATCTTTTTATGTATTTATTTATGTATTTATGTCTATATTTATATTTATTTATATTGATGCTCTTTTCTTTGATGGAGGAGTTTTAGATAAACTTTTGTTGCTT